TCTATGAAATGAATTGAACTGAAAATTGTTCTACTTGAAAATAAATAATAGCATACCATCATAACTCAATCACAATAAAATTTACACATCAGTGGTAAAACAACAAGGAATAGTGGGCAACAAAAAATGTGGATGTAACATGGACTACTCTTATCCCAAAGAGTAAAAATGTGAATAAATAGGATATTGAGGATATCAAGTTTTTTTATGCGCTGTTCCTTAATAATGTCCTCTAACATAACTTTGGTAGTGTAAAGCCAATCAGTGCACTTGCAGGAAACTTGAGATATTCACTTAACCCTAAAATATATTCTAAGACGCGCGCAACATAGAAGAAAATCAGGGAACAAAATATTTCCCGTGAACATAAATTTCGAGTCTAAATAATGGGAGGGAAAAAAATTCACTACGCTTATAATACTCAAACACGGGGCCAAAGAAAGATCCAAGTATCATGATGTACTGCCCAAAAATAGCTCCAGAAAGAAATGATGTAATCTCATCTAAAAACAGGACTTTTAACAAAACAATGAGCATATAGCTTACTCCCAATCACTAAGCGCAAAGTCCGATCAGTGCTAAAATACAAATATCTAACACATTAAACTTACCACAGTAACTTCTTCTTTGCCCTTCATCTTTGCTTCATGGTTTACACCTGATAAAGTAATGGAAGACTAAATTCGTAAGTAGTTGGTAAAGAAACTAATAAAGCAATCACAGTCTTAAGCTCAGATGAGAAGGCAGAGAAAAAAGTTTTTTTATTTTTCTGAAAAGGGCACAGAAGAAAGTTCACGATGGCTAATCATAATTTTTTTCTTTTTATTAAAATGAAGACATCTTATGATAACAAGTACAAGGCATGCAAGATAACATGGACATACATGCAACAGCTGAGTAAATTAGTTTGAAAATTCCCTTGCATTCAAGAATCAAAGGAAGGAGCCACCGACCAACTAAATTTTAAAGTCACAATGACCACTGAAAAAGGTGCAGCATCCTTTCAAAGAAAGGATACAGATGATTTTTTTAATATTTGAAAAATTAATAAGGATGATATAGTACTCACAAATAAAGTGAAACAGTAATTAAAAGGGGTAATCAGGGGATTTTGGAAAAGATACCAGCATCAGAGACTCTATATCAATCAAGCTCACTCTTACAAGAACTACTTCTTGAACATACCAATACAAGAGAATAAATTAAACCAGCAGTAGAATAAGACGGAGCAAGGATTCTTTGTCTTCCTCCTGCCAAAAATAAAGGATTCCTACGTCTTCCTAATAGCGTAACTCTGCATGTTATGTATAATTTGAAATTCAGAAGACCAACTTGAATTTTGGATTCCGTCGATTGCAATTTCAAACAGTTTTCATTAAACGTTGATGAAGTTCCAGGTTTTTCTTATAGACGCCACAATTATTGTAATGAAAACAATGAATTCTAAGTCTCATATACCTAGCTCCAAATCAATAGGAAAATATCAAAGAAATCAACCTCATTACATTTCACAGCACAAAAAACTCAGCCAGAAGATAATTGTTAAAAACATGCAAGTAAAATTAGCAAAAACAGAACGAAAGGTGTCCCAAACAACGAAATCCCAACTCCACATTAAATGATTAAACTAAGAAACCCATGGAATAGTAAACAAAGAGAGTCACGAATGCAGCAAAAGCCGAACCTGTAGAAGGCGACTGAGGCGGAGGAAGGCGTTTGCGAAAGACAGAGGAGAAGAGGCGGTGGGCGCCAGAGGAAATGAGGCGCTGAGCCGGATCGACGAGCTTCGAGAGCCAGCCATCGTTGGCGGCGCTAGGGTTTCGTAAAATCGTTGGTGGCCGATCGTACGGTGTTGCTTGGGTGGTCCGTCGAAACGGCGTCTTTCGGAACTTGCCACCCGCACCCAATCCTTCGTATGCCTGCTTCTGCTTCTCTTCCCGCGCGGGCGACGCCATGAGAGAGAGGAGAGAGATAGAGAGAGCGCGCTAGGGTTTCAAAATTTTGTGGGGGGTAGAGAGAGAGAGGGATGGCATTGCAAATTAGGGTTTTTAATTGCACCGCCCGAGAGTGGAAATGAAAGGGGCCAATTTGATATTTAGCGAAACATGTCGGGGACAGGGAGAGAGTGACAGAAGTATGGGAATGATATTTTTGTCTCGGAAAAAAACAAGAATATGAAACTAGCCCTAATAAATTCGGTTAAAATGAATATGGTATTTTACCACCGTGACAAAAAATAATAATTTGTATGCACCGTGTTTCGCATTCGATCCTCATCAGTTTTCCTTTATAAATATTTAATAATTTATTTTACTAATGTTATCGTTTAAAAAACAAAGATAAAAATAAAAATAAAAAAAACTAAGACTGGGTTGTTTTTTTTTTTTAACAGTAAGATATTCATTGATAAGTAATAGAACACGCACAATCATTGAGGATATGATACATATAATGGGTCTCGATAAAAACATTGCCGAGGATTTTAACCCGGTCTAACAGTTTAACTAAGACTGGTTTTATATTTTATTCAAAAACGTTGATAATTTTCAAAAATATTTGTAAGAATTCATCTTTTTAACAGTTTTGTTTAATACCAAAAAATTTGTTTGCTATAGAATTTAAAGTTACTTTAGATCTTAAAATTCAAAAGCCAATTAAAAAATAAAAGGTTATATTCAATTGAGATTTGAAATATCTTACAAGATTTCTAAATTCATGAAGTTAAACGGAGTTTCATACACTCCATGTGAATTTTAAGTGAAATTATTAGAAATCTTTGGGGTTGAGACTTGATTTCTTAAAACCTAAAAATCACTATAAAACCTCTCTAAACCCATTAAAATCCATCATCTTTAAAAATACTTTAAACTCCAATCATAATTGAATACATATAAAGTTTTGTAGACTACTTTAAAATCCGAAATGAAAACACTCATATTTCTATATAAATTCTTAAAATCTTGATTCAATACCCATGAACTGTATTTAAAATCTTGATTGATTACATATGAATTTGTAAACTTTTTTAAACTCCTAATTGAATACATCAAACAAAAAAATCAACATTCCGATTTTGGCTTCATCCTACTCTACTAGTAATTCCCTGGCCTACCCCCTCTCCCCGACGTCGAAACCGTCCCCCGTCGGCAACGCCAACCTTTCGTTTTCCCCTAGTTGATCTGATTCTCTTTCCTTACTTTCCGTATTTTTAAATTCTCTGGTATATTTCCTCCTTCCATTGTTGCAAGGTAAACATGGAACCAATGCTCCTACAATAGTTCCAAAAAAGTTTATTAAACAACTTCAATGAGAATCCGAATTCTAATTCTCCTTAATCCAATTTTTTCAGTTTCAATTACAGATTAGCAAAACAAGCTCTATTTTCCTAAAAACCTAAAACGCAAATTTAAAGGTTTAGACAACATTGTTTGCCAAAAGTGTCTTTACATGTTAAACTCACCATTCATGTAAGTAGAACATTAGATCTCCATCTATTAGTGAAAAAGGTTACCAATAAACTGTAGTGACAATGGCATTTTAATTAAACTTTGTAAATGTTTTATCATAGCTTGTTTTTAATCAACACACTTTGGGGTGGTATACAATTGGAATTTTATTTTATAAGTATTTACCAAGGACCAAATTTGAAGACTTAGTAAGTTTAAGGGCTAAAGTGCAGGCAATTCAAAATTTAGATTGACTCTCTCGTTTTGGATGTTGAAAAATATACCCACAAAAATGTGCAACTCCGTTAATCCATAAGCAGTGTTCTATTAATAAATAGAATCAATATATTTGGGGTGTTTATTAATTTATTTAACAAGTCGATAAGGACATTGTGAGAAGGATTTGGATGACATGAGTTCACCGCCCTATGACGTTCTGTAAAGACGTGCTTTCGCATGTAGTAGGTATAGGGGGCACTGCTGGCTTGGTTGTGTGCTATAATATGAAAAATTTTAGATGCAGGTGGCTCTGCCTTACTTTTGCGTTTGTAATATCTACCCAAGGTCCCAAAGTGTTGCCCCCTCTTCCCACGCGAGGGTTAAGCACTGACGAAACCATATGGGTGACGTTTTCAACTAGGTTTGCTTGTGTCACCCAGTACTACAGTCTAATAGTATTTCTCTTTACTTAAAAATGAGAGGTTTTAGGTTCGAATCTCGTGAATGGCGAATTCGATACTAAATTAGGCTACCTATTGTGTGGCTTTATCGGACTTCTCCTCCCCTTAGTGTAAAAATATCGATGTACGAGATCCACTTGTACATGTGACATTCCCTCTCAAGTAGGTGAAATTTAGTTACCACTAGCACATTGTCGTAATCAACTCAGCTACGCAAAGTCTACACTTTTTAAGTATTTTTTTCTTTTTAACAAACGATGACGTTGGTGGATTAAATTGTTAATTGTTAGAGGAGAAGAGGAACGGTAGAGACCAAACCCGCACCAGAATACATAAACATGATTATTTTTCGTCACTGCGGTAAAAGGTCATCTGCTTTGTAAGTATTTTAATTTAGAATTGTACTTTGGCTATGTTCAATCAAATCAAATGTAATGATTTTGAGTGGGAGGGAGCGGGTGGGCAAGAAAGTGGGATACGCTCATGCAGTTGGATGCTCTAATTCCTTCCCTTTGCATGGCGCCCACAAAGCAGAAAGTTGTGAAAGCACTTTTGTACCCAACTACCATATAAACTAGTTCTTTCAGCTTACTTTTAGAAAGAGGGCACATTCCACATTTCAAAACTCCCAACTAGGATAAAGTGTTCGAATTTCCAAAATAAATAAATAAATAACTAAAAAATGTTCAAATTTCCGAAATAAATAAATAACTAGGAGAGTGTTCGTATCGTGACAATGACATAATAAATCAGTGTATGTTACCATCACAGCTCGCAAATGTGTCTTTCAAACCAAGTATGCATATATTCATTATCGATACGAAAATAAAAATACATATAAAAAAAGGTCGTACCCAGTGCACAAGGCTCCCGCTTTACGAAAATAAAAATACATATGCCAATAAAAAAAAAAAAAAATTCTCCTCCCTGTATACAAGATAGAAAGGGCTCCGAGTTTCAGATACAAAATCCCTCGGTGTGGAAGCCTCAATAAATTCGGAGAAAATAACCCGAAATGCCTGGCTCGACTTGGAAGAGCAGTCAAGTACCTTTCTATACAATCTTCATACCTCAAAACAATGAAGAATGAAGCAGGAAACCTGAAACCCTCATTGTTATCTATGAACTAAATTTCAAGTGCTTATCTAAATGCAATGCTGAAGCTACTTTGCAGTCCCTTCTTACCAGGGCCAACAAAATTTCCCTTCTGCATCATGGCTACAAACTCGTTGTAATCTATGCGTCCATCCTGCAATAGTAAATCAACACGGTAACTCTCACATACAAACAGATCAGAAAAGTAGGCTGCACGTAATCATTTCTCCCGTATGCAAGTAATATTAATGTTGCAACAAAGAAAAGGCACAGATTCTTGACGCTAGTTCCCCCATTTCGGTCATCATGAGTTGTAAACCCCAAACCCACTGTCCTATTTCGAATATCATCACCATAATAGCAAAGAGCTTCTGCTTGACATTGCAGTCATTATTTTGGTCTTAAAATTGTTAATTAAAGCAACTAGGACAAATCCCAATTACTTGAAAGAAGACATACGGTATTACCAAGTTGCATGCAAATTGCTCCCTAATCAGTCACCATAAGGCCTTTGAGGGTCCATGAAAGCAAAATACTACGGGCACAGTTTCAAGCTTAACAAAAATTTGCTGCATAAACTGACACAGGACTTGAGTTAACATGCCACTCGTAATCACTTTGGTGCAGATAACATGCCTCATATGGATGATAACAATCGGAAATGGAACTACCACGTCAATTTATACAATAAATCACTCTTCAATATGTGAACCTGTTGTATTACTCTCCAAATTATGCAAGTTTACTTTTGAAAGTCAAGTTTCATGCTGATACTGAATTTAGATGCTTGGATCCATGTCTTATTTTGAGCCACATCATTTTTCTATGCAAGGAAATAGCTCACTCAACTATTTTCCCTTTCTAATATGATACAAATGCCGTATTGTTAAGATATAATCACTTACATTGTCCTGATCAACTTCTCTTATCATCTCTTCGAGGCGAACATCCTCTATGCCAAAATCCTCACAAGCTTGTTGAAGCTCATCCGGAGTAATATAGCCACTTCCATCCTTATCAAAGTAGGAGAAAGCTGCAAATAGATGATCTTCTCTCTCAATTTTGTTCAGATGCAACGTTGCAGCTACGAACTCCCCATAATCAATGGTTCCACTGTTATCGACATCTGCCTACAAATCAGAAAAGGTATTCCTTTATGATATTGAAATCTGGATAAATGATATCGACTTTTTTAAGAAACAAATTATCAACTAGAACAGCTATACAGCAAGGGTATTTAAATGGCCTAATCATATGTACAACCTCTATGGCTGAAATTCGAGAATTATAGCATTTATGATAATTAGATTCCATAGATTACAAAGGAAACTGAAACTGTCAATTGTCGATATTCACTAAAATTTGCTTTTGCCAAACCCGACATCAAAGAGACAGTTAAAATAAACTCACTTAACTTCACTTTTTATCCCTGGATATAGAATACTACTAGTCTTTCTTCTTCTATTTTTTTAATTCTTAAAACAGGTCAACATGGCTGGCATGACCATAGTAGCTATGGCTTGACGAAGCACTGGCCAGAGAGGGTAAGAGGTACATACTGCTTGCATTAGATCATAAATTTCAGACTCCTTTAGATTTGCCCCAAATCTTTTCAATCCAATCTTTAGTTCGTCAAAAGTGATTTGACCACTGTTGTCAGTGTCTATCATCTTGAACATTTCTTTCAGGCCAGCTATTTCTTCTACAGACAAGTTCTCTGCAATGACCTGCCAAATAGTTAAAAAAGAAATTATCATCCTTCTTGGTGAATGACCATCTGAAAATACATGTTTACGTTACTAATTGAAGTTCTGGCCAAAAGCAAAGAGTTATTAACTAAAGGCATCTAAAGTATGCGTCTGGCACAATTGATACTTACTCTGAGAGCCATTTTCTTGAGTTTGTTCATAGCCGAAAATTGTTTTAAGCGACTTAGAACTGCAGAATCAAGAGCCTTATCGGGAGCCACACCATCAACTTGCACCCAGGGGTGGCCTGAAAGGAATAAAACCTACCTAATCAAACAAAAGTAAATGGCATTCCTAAAACCAAATTGTAATTAAAAAAAAGAATTTATATATCTAAAGAAATGCCTGTAACTTTATGTGTAGCAGCAGAAATGATCTCAGGAATTCTTAAGAGGTTTATAAAATTAAAGATTTAATCACTTCTATGGTAACATTTTTGTCGGTCTGAGAGACAATAAAACAAATGAAAATACCCACAATACGCAAATGATGTGGAAGGAAATTCTGTCTTTCTTTTAAGTCAATGGAGGTAGATGCTGCAAGCATTAGAGCTCATAGCAGAACCCATAAAGGCAAGCATCAATGAGGCAATTACTCAACAGTCAGATTCACAGCATTAAGATTGATTAACAGTCCAGAAGAGTACTTAAGGTATAATATTAGGACCTACAAAAGCCCCAAATAGAGCAACGAAAAAATAACTAAATAATAAACAAAAAGTAATGGAAGAGACTCACACAAAACTTCATGGGCTGTCAGCCGCCTTTTGGGGTCTCGGACAAGCATTCTCCTCACTAAATCTTTGGCACCATCAGAAATACTAGGCCAAGGGTCTGATTCGAAATCTAGGTCACCATGTAGGACCTGGTCAAATATTCCTTCCTCATTTTCTGGGGAATTATAACAAAGTACATTAAGAAGAAAACAATGTGGAAAACAGTTACAATCAGTAAAAGTAAGCTCATGTTTGTTAAAGCATGAAATGAAGATCAAGAATCAAATAGATAGCAAGTCAAAAGTTCCCACCAGCCCAAAATGGCGGTACCCCACTTAACAGAATGTAAACGATCACCCCTGCACTCCAGACATCTGCTTCTGGACCATAACGCTTGCGTAACACTTCAGGTGCAACATAATATGGGCTTCCAACCACATCACTATATTTTACTCCTGCAAGGAGGCAGCCATGAATTTTTCAACTCTAGATTCAATCATCAATTCTGAATCATTTTATCATAAACTCTAGTTGTGTAAGCACCAATGAGTCAAAAAGAGCACTGAAAAGAAGAAAACTTGTCCAAAAGTAACAATTAGGAAGCATGGATTAAATGTAGGGTCGGATTATACAGATCCCATACGTCATGAGATGCTTTTTGCAGTCGTTACTTCTATTTGACTATTTGGGAACACAGCGACAACAAAGCTCTCCGAAATCAGAACATTTCCCAAACTGCAAAAGAGGGTGGTTCACTAAGTGAACAACCGAGACAAATGGGCCTAGATACAAAAATAGAAAGAAGATAGTCTGAAGTCTCAAATACTCAATGAGTACGACTGCGAAGTTAATGGCTGAAAACTGTATAATAAGACATAGTGAATTGTAATTTTTTATCATAAGTTGCCATCCAGGTCTCAACTCAAGGTGTATAGATTAGGGAATGAAATTGAGCACAAAATAAGTTTATACCAAAAGATGTAATGCCAATGTAAAGTTACTGCTCTAGAATATTACAAACAAGTACTGCTTATTTAAGAAGTGACTAATATGGAAATAACTTAGGTTGGGTTCCTGATGTTCCCTTAAAATTTAACTTTTTGGTACTAAGCTCAAAGATCATTCCTATCATTTAAAATCTATTGATTCGAATTTCAATCCACAATAATTGATAACGTTTGACCTCAAGTCCCATTTTCTCATAAAATTCACAATTCTGTTTGTGAAATATAATCTGTCAAAGTAAAATTTTTTTGCGAGTAACAGTACATGTTCTTACATCTTCAGCAGACTCTGATAATCAAACTCGTTCTAAAAAATTATAATTTTCTTAGAGAAACCAAGGAACCTTAAAAAGGAATTGTTAAAGCTAGCAGACTGCATTTGGTATATAAAATCAGATAGTTTACTGGGAATGTTGAAGCCTGGAAGAAGACGTTTTTAAAATTTTAAATCATTATAAATGGGAATACATGGTCAATATGGCTTCAGGTATTCCAATCCCAGAATTAAGCATCCAAGAAAACATCTTAGTTAACTTTATGATTAACAAAGTAAAAACCTGGAGCTAGAAATGGTTCCTTTAGAGACAAACGCTACAACAGCACAATGGTCCAGAACAAATTAAACGTTCAAGTCAAAGAAATTGTTAATACATGATCGAATATCAAATTCAAACGGTATTGTAAGACTGGTGAGTGAAAGAGTACAGTGTTAAGTATTATTCAAAGAGCAAAAAGAATTATCTGGCACATTTTATGCAAAGTATTGTACTAGATAATGGGCAAGATACATTTAACAATCTTGATCATGTGACAATACTAATATGAAATGACATTGATAATATGAAAACCACACGATGATAATTACCTGGCTTCAAGAAAATTGACAATCCAAAATCAATAGTTTTGAGAAGTGCATCCTCATCCTGACTGACAAAGAGAAAGTTCTCTGGTTTAAGGTCTCGATGCATAACTCCCAATGAATGGCAAGCTTCGACCACTCCAACTATAGTCCTAGTTAGCTCAGCTGCCTTTCTTTCTGTATAATGCCCGCGCTGGATAATCCTATCAAAGAGCTCACCTCCTGCACATAATTCCATAACAACATGAACTGCTACAGCATCCTCATAAGCTCCCTTAATAGAGATAACATTTGGGTGGCCTGCCAGATGGTGCATGATCTGAATTTCCCTCCTCACATCCTCCACATCGTCATCAGTTATTAACTTCCTTTTCGCAATCGATTTGCACGCATACTCTTTCCCTGTCGCCTTCTCCACACACAGAAACGTTATTCCAAACTGCCCCTGTCCAAGTTTCCTCCCAAAACTGTAAAACTCCTTTATCTTTCCGGTTTTCGTTTGCAACACCGAACCAGCCTGAAGTCCTGCACTAGGGACCCTCTTTATCTGCGGTGGCTTCTTGGGTTTTGCGGATTGTTTTGGCTCAGTTTCAGGTTTTGCGGATTGCTTTGGCTCGGTTTCTGGTTTTGGTATTGTCACTTGCTCTGGTGGTTTGTCTAGTACTGGCATAGGCGACTCAGGTTCCTTAGGTGATGATGTCTCATTGACAGGTTCTCTGTTAGTATGAACTGAGTCATCGGGAGAGCGGTTTGGCCACATTACAGCTGAAACTGATTGGAAGAAAGCATTCTTGGAAATGCTCGGTCCAACACAAGTGTTACCCATTTAGACCAAAACTCTATTCCTTCCTTAACACTTGCTTAACATCAAAATCTAACCTTCTCTATTGAATGTCTCTTAGCACAACACATAAGATCTAATTTCGGAATCCGACAACTATCGTTGATCAAGTCAAACTCTCCTCCCACTCTCTCTCTAGACTCTAGTTTATACACCAGAGAAGCAAGATCAAAAGCTTGGATTTGTAACCCCAAAAGTAAAGCATCAAAATTTATACCAAGTCAACAGACAGAAATCACCCTTACCAACTTTCTTTCTAAAATTGCATCAGACTATGGCACATGAACTCTTGCGATTGAAAGAAGAAACCCAGAAATCATAAACTCAAAGTATAAATTGCAGAATACACAAATGATAGATAAAAATGGTCAAAACCTTGCTTGATCAACGACTAAATCTACAATTACTGACAAGTTTGAGATGAAAAAACCAAGGAAAATAAAGGGCAAAGAAGTAGTCAGATGAGATAAACAAACAAATGAATCAAAAGCTATCAAATTTGAACAATTCAAGCATGGTGCTGCAAAACCCAACTGAGAAAAAGAAACAGGAACCGTGTAGAACAGGTAGAAACAAAAAATGGGCAAGTAGCCAGTAAGTTGTAGGTGAGAGAAAGAGAATGGATCGACCTTGTCCTTTTCCCTTGGTTTTACCAAGCTGCCTGCCAGCCTAGTAGAAATGGACTGCAAAGAGAATGGGGGTTGATTTTCCTGTCTGTCTCTATCTGCTGCCACTGAGAAGCATTTTTCTATTTGGACAGGTTTGTATGTGAATGTGAATGGGAGGAGGGTGAGGACCCAGAAGCAAACGCGTTCGGTCCAAATAAATAAAAAAAAAACCCCCGGCTTTCATGGTTCCTTGTGTTCAAACATGTTATCAAATCATCATCTGTAATATTGTTGAAAAGATTCAGATGTGTATTGTTCATTACGAAAGTGTACGAGGTTTACGCAAAATTAGGGGGAACATGAAGATATTTTTCAAAGAATCTAAATCTCTTTTCTTTTTCATTTTTGTCGACAACGGGGCAAAAGCCGTGACCCGTGAGAAATGGAAAGATCACATTCACATGATCTCAATTGTATCTCCAATTACCAAGTAATAACCCACGATAAGAAGAAATAACTTGAAAAATGAAAAGACTGAAAGCACACTGCATAACAAACACAAACGAGCTAGATTACCAACAACAAATTTTATCGGAACCGGATCATCTGGACTATTGAAATTTGATTCAACGACTACAATAATTATAACTTTTAAGAGGTCCCTGTTTGTAGCCGTTAGATCAAATTTCAATGGCTTAGATGGTTTGATCAAGAGGATCCCCATCTTATGCTTAGGAGGGGATCCGGTTCCAATTTTATCGATCCTTGGCTAGGCCTGTGCCTTACGCATTTTATAAAGTGTTGGGTTCGCCCGGCCCAACGAGTTTGGAGACTGAGTTCAGTGAAAACAATTAAACAAAAGTTCTCATACTCATATCTAATGAATACTTATTTGTTGGAATAATGCAAGGTAGTCATTTGACCTGAAATACCACAATTATCTTGTGGAGACGTCTTTAACCATTCGACGATGCGTCATAACCACATGGTTTGTTCTACGCATTGTTGGGGTCACAGACTCATCTCTTTGATGTTATTGATAAGCAACTTCAAGAGTTGAATAGTTGTTTTAACGAGGCAACTGCAAAGTTCCTTCTTTGTGTGGCATGCTTAAACCCAAATAACTCATTCTCAATTTCTGGCATTGAAAAGTAAGTTCATTTTGCTTGATTTTCTCCAAAGATTTTTATGATCGATAGCTCACACTTCTTGTAGATGAACTTAAGAATTAAATTTCTAACAAGCATCTGCATAATGAATTTTCTTGATTGAAATAAATTAGTAGTCTTGCATAAAAATTAATGGAGGCAACGGGAGATAAACAATATCTCTCGGTGTACTTGCTTGTAATATTAGCATTGATGATAGCTTGTTGTATAAAAGGACAGGCCCCAGGCCTGGCTGCCCATCTAGCCGACCCCAATTCCCCTCAACCCCACTCACTTTTAACTAATCCCTCACTTTTGTTAGCATTGTTATTGTAATTTATATATCCTAATTCCAATTTTGTTTTTTAAAACTAATTTTCTTGCTTTTTCATTCTATATCAAACATTGTTTTTTTTTTTTAACTTCTTACAATTAGTTTATATTGAATTATTTTTTGTTTTTTTTTTTGTTTTTTTCTTGAGTTTTTATTATGTATAAGTATACATTTTAAGGAATCAGACTCATAGATTCCCTAATTAAATGTATTTTTTTACGGTCAAATTTTGTTTATAGAACGTTTGTATATATTGTAGTTGGAAGTCAATAATACGTGCGAAAGTAGGGTAATATAATAGAAACAAAGTAGATTGAGCAAGAAATAAATAAAAATAAAATAAAATGTTCCATTAACAGAATTTGGCTTCAAAGTTAAGCTTACCTCAGTTTTGGCTTTTGGATTCGTCTTTGGTTGTATACATTGAGAAAAATGTATTTGATTCTATTGATAATGATGATGTAATACGATGATTGCAAAATATGAGAATATGTCACGGACAATTTGTAAACACAAAAATACCTGTAGCAAATTAAACAAGAACATATGTACAAAGAATATTTGTATCCATGCAAATGTAGGGTTACAATCTCTTTATAACTAGATCCTCTTATTCGGTTTCCGAAGATGAAAAAAGGGGAATTTTAACGAAACACTTCCGATACTGTTCACTTTAACGAAAAACCACATTTTTACTCTAAAAAGTTACTCTGGTACTATTCACTTACAACACCTTTTTGTCATTTTGATTAAAACTCAAAGTTTTCAAGCTACTTTCGTTAGTTTTCCTAAAGAAAAAAAAATGTAGTGTTGTTAATCCAAAAATCACGATGACTTGATCTCGAATGAACGAACGCCTCAAGGTTTTGGCTTGTGGCAATTGAAGAACTGACACGTGTAGTGGTGGTGCTTGATGATTCTTCAAAGGTTTGACAAAGAACATAGAGCTCTTTTTGAATTCTTCTAAGTATTTGGGAATTTGGAGGATTTGGATGCTTGAGAGCTTTAGAGTTTCAAAGCTTTCTCATCTGCGTGTGAATGATTTTCTTGACTCTTTTCTTTGTTTTGGAGCCTCCTATTTACTGACTCTCCAAGCTTTGCCTACGAAAGAACCAAGATTTAATTTGTGTCTTGGTTCATGATTTGTGATTTTACTCCATCAATTAATATTTGATTTACTCAAATAAAAATTAAATAAAAATCAAACAAATCAATCTTTCCAATTTGGCATTTTCATTTGATTAAATTTAAATTACTTAATTTGTTAATTTAAATGAAAATCAAATACTACTGTTCACCAAGTGTTGACATTTGTCATCGATGACTAGTCCACCCTCGCATGTCCCGTAAGCCCTCGCATGGCGAAATTTAATATGTTGGTGAACATTTATTTTTCACCGAAATTCTACACAATTATAACTGGAAATTAAAGGTGTACACAACCGTGGTTTAGCCATGGTGTTTGCATACACCTTTCAGTACATATGTATTTGCATATTTTCACAACTGTTTTGGAGATTTTGGTACACATGTATTTGCATATTTTCCTTATGTATATCTAATATATTTTTTGGATGAAATTCAAAAGGAAATTTCCAGCTTGGGTCCTTCAGAAGAAAGGTTTACAAATGAGGATAAAGCTTCTTTGTGCGTGCAAAAGGCTCTTATTGCACATGAAAATTTTTACCGTGACAAGTCTCGCATTAAATGACTTTCTAAAGGGGATAATAATACCTTTTTTTTCCATTCCATGGTTAAAATCAGGAAATTTCATCAGTCACTGGTAGTTATGAGATTTGGTAATAAGGTTCTTGATAATCATATGGATATTAGTCAGCATGTTGTTATCTATTTTCAAGATCTTTTTTCTACAAATAGTTCTATGACGGACACTGGTTTGGTTGCTCGCAATATTCCCAATGTAGTCACTGCAATAGAAAATGAGTCTTTGTTAGCAGTTCCAACTCCTGATGAAAATTTTAAAACTTTAAAGTCTATGGACCATTCTAGTTCCCCGGGTCCAGATGGTTTTGGCGGGTCTTTCTATTTTAGGTGATGGTCCATTGTGGGTAATGACGTGGTTCAAGCATTGCAAAGTTTTTTCTCCCAAGGGAATATTCTGCCTCACTTCAATTCTAACGTAATGATTTTAATTCCAAAGGTAGATGGAGCAAATTCAGTGAATCATCTTCGTCCTATTGCATTGGCTAATTTTTCATTTAAAATTATCACTAAGATTTTAGCAGATTGTTTAAGCCCTATTGCTGCTCGTATTTCTCCCCCCAGCATAATGCTTTTACAAAAAGACGATCTATTGTGGATCCCATCATTCTCACTTCTGAATGCATGAACCTCCTTGATAGATGTTGTAAAGGTGGGAATATTGCAATCAAGTTCGATATTCGAAAGGTGTTTGACACTTTGGATTGGGGTTTTCTTCTTCGGGTTTTGGATGCTTTTGGTTTTTCAGCAGGTTTTGTGGATTGGATTCGTTCTATTCTAACTTCAGCTCATCTTTCTGTCCTTATTAATGGTTCAGTTGAAGGTTTTTTCACATGTTCTCATGGTGTTCATCAAGGGGATCCCTTGTCTCCTATTCTCTTTTGTCTAGTTGAGGAGGTTTTTAGCAGGGGTTTAACAAAGATGGTGGAAGATGATCTAATTGACACTTTTTCAGTTCCCATGGGTATTGCTCCACCATCTCATGTTCTTTTTGCAGATGATATTATGGTTTTCATGCGTGGAACTAAGCGATCTATGCGTAACCTAATGCGTTTTGTAGAGGAGTACAACTTAAATTCTGGGCAATGCATAAATAAATTAAAATCTTTAGTTTTTCTTAGGAAATATGCAAGCAGTCGGCATGCTATTATTCGAAAGGTTCTTGGTGTAAGTCGGGGAAATCTACCTTTTACTTATCTAGGTGTCCCTATCTTTCGGGGTCGTCCAAAAAGGATCTATTTTCAAGCCATTGCTGATAAGACTCGTTGCAAGTTGACAGCTTGGAAAGGCTCTTTGCTTTCGCAAGCAGGGAGACTCCAACTTATTAATTCAGTAATTCAGGGAATCTTGGTTTATAGTTTTCAAATTTATGCTTGGCCTACTAATTTGCTACGTGAGGTTCAAGGGTGGATTAGAAATTTCATTTGGTCTAGTGATCCGTTAAAACGAGGTATGCCTCTAATAGCTTGGAGTTCTTGTTGTAAGTTGAAGGAAGAGGGTGGTTTGGGTATCGAGATCTTTTTGAATCCAACCGTTCTCTCCTTCTTAAAAGATGCTGGGATGTAACTTCTTCTTCCTCACCGGCTTCAGATTGGTTACGTAATAGATTTCTTAAAGACAACTTTCATTTGCTAAAGTCTTATAAAAAGTCTTCCGTTTGGTTGGAGCTTAAACAATTATGGCCCTCCTTCTATAGTTCCCTTCAATGGAGTGTTGGTAATGGTCGTAAGATTTCTTTTTTGTATGATAACTGGCTTGGAACCCCTTTGCTCTCTAATATTGGTGAGGTTGACATAATTCCTTTGAATTCTAAGGTGAAAGATTTTATTCAGGATGAAAAATGGTCTCCTCCCAATGTTCTTACTTCTTCTTTTCCTCATGTTTTGGAGAAGATTATGAAGACTCCATTGCCAATTACGCACATGGATGATGCTTTATTTTGGACAGGTTCATCTTCAGGTACTGTTTCAACTAATGAGGCTTTTCTTTTTTTCTCATCTCATGCTCCGCG